ACCTGATGCTGCTGCCTGCCCGGCATAGCGGCACCGGCATATGTGACCCTCTCGACCGTGCCGCAGCCGCCTACCCCGCTTCCCGCGCGAGCACCAAGGTGGTCTCCAAGTCCGTCCAAGGCAAGGCTCCGTTCCACCCTGGCGACCATCGTGCCACCATCCGCCACGCCCTCACCCGGAGCAAGCAGCAGCAGGACGTCGCCCACAAGACCAAGAGGGAGGCCGCCCTGCCGCACATCGACCGCCGGCGCCATCGCGTCCTCTCCCGCAGCGCCGAGTACAAGACGTCCGGCTGGCTGACCACCCTCCCGTCGACAGACAACAACACTGGTCTTGATGCTGCGGAGTTTCGAGATGCCCTCAACATGCGTTACGGCCGTCACCCCCCCGGCCTCGCTGCACGCTGCGACCACTGCAACCAGCCCCTCACCGTCGACCATGCGCTGTGCTGCAAGCGGTACGGCCTGGTGATTCGTCGCCACGACGAGCTGCGGGACACTTTTGCCGAGCTGATTGGGATGGCGTGGGGGGACGCTGGTGTGCGTCGGGAGGTGGTGTTGAAGGAGGGAGAGGAGGGGGAGGGTGGGGTCAGGGCGGACATCGTCGCTCGGGGCGTGTGGGAGCGGCAGGCGGCTGCGTCGTTTGACATCTGTATTACGGATCCTGACGCAACGTCTTACGCTTCCAAGAACCGATCGACCAAGTCCATCCTGAAGCAGCACGAGACCGCCAAGAAGAAGAAATACCGCTCGGCCGTCTGCGACTCCCGCGTGACCTTCTGCCCTCTGGTGGTGACGTGTGACGGTGTGTGGGGGACACGATGCCAACGTGTTCATCGCCCATATGGCTCATGCGCTGTTGGAGAAGGAGGGGTGGAAGAGTCGGGGGTTCAGTCATCTGTCTGGATGGATTCGCTCTCGCTTGTCTATCGCCCTCGCGCGCGACTAGCTTCTGTCTGCGTGGGGGAGGGAGGGAAGGGTTTGCGGGACTGGGGTGTGCTGATGGGGTGGGGATTGATCCCTCCTCCCCTTGAGCCTGTTTGACTCTGCGTGCTGATGGGACTGTATTTATATGAGTATCACGGACACACAGACGAGTGTTACGGTTAATGACAGTTTCCCCCCCAGACACTTGGCCCCACGGGATATCACCCGAACCTGGAATCGCTACTTGATCGCTACGCCACTGTCGAAGTCGCAGCTGGTCGGTTGATTCCATTGATTCGGGTGCATAGTGACGGATTCCATGCTTTCATGCACCGTTGCGTGAGACAATCAATGAAACCAACATTCAGACCTCACGCAGTCATCTACGTGAAGCAACAGGAAAATAGAAGCGGGGACGGCCGGCGCCGACGTAGGTGGAAATAGGTCGAATGCAATGTCTCTTATCGTGTGTTGGTTGGATTGGTTTGTATTTGATGATCGATCAATCCCTCTCGCCCACACGACCCCTTACATACGCTCGTAAACCATTCGTGTGATGATGGGTCCTCGTTGGTGGATGTCTTGTGTGTACGGTGCTCACACATCACTATCCTACCTCATGACAAAACCCCACCAGAGAAAAATCTTAGAAATGGAAAATTGGGGAAACATTTTTAAGATTCAGGCAATGAGCGGGTAGCAAGCGTTGTTTTAAGCTTGGTTTAGGCATGGAAAGCCCCCTCAGACCCTCCTGACTCCGCCGCCTCCACTTTCAAAACCTCCCACAAAAAATCAAAGGAGTACTAGAATTAAAATTGAAGGGGGAATTTGAGCATCGCAAATAAGAATAGAAAAGGGGAGCCCTCTACGGGGTGCTAAATACCCAAGGGTCACAGTATATGTGAGCCCAGCGCATGCGTGTGAGTGCTCGAATCCCCCTCTGCAGAGTTGCCCCTTTCTGCCTTATTCCCTCAGAGTCGTCTGTTTGTTTGTGCTTCGGCGCCTGGCGGACGACAAGGAGCCCAGGCATGACATTGACAGATTGTGCTTGTGTGGCGTGGTGTGTCTGTGTCAGCGCGGAGACGTGTGCGGGATGCTGCCTGGGGTAGATGGATGTCGTCTGAGTGGGAGGTGGACCCCTCGGATCCGGGACTTACTTGCCTGAGTCTTGCCGTTGATACGGGTTCAGGGAGAGACCCGAAGAGAGACTTCGGGTCTTTCCCTGTGGGACGCCGCCGGTGGCTTCGTAAGTGCAAGGGTACGCCCGTGGGGAGAAGAGTCGCCTCGCAGAAGGCAATCTTTCGAAAGGGCTGCGAGGATTGCTCTGGCGGAGGGAGCGCCTTTCGAGCCGTTGGTCTGGTCTGCTGTTGTAATGAAGCGACGCGCAGAAGGACGCATGGCCGGCAAGATATCGATGATTGTTTGGTTGCCGCGTGGATGGATAAATTTGCCGTGTCTCGAGCGATATTTATTTGTTCACGTATGTCTCATTCGGTCCATGCCACACACACGCCGACGCATCCATCTACCCCTGGCGGATGGTACACGTCTGGTGCTCATGGTGGTGTATGTCGATTTGTGACAAAGGGCAGGACAGAGAAGGGCAGGGAAGAAGAGGAAGTTAGAGGAGTCGTTGCTACAGAGGACGATTAGTTGTTGACTGATTGACTATTGGCCACGGCTGCATAAGGCGCCACGCAAATTTCACTGCTTTGCGAGTAAAATGGGGTTCATTCATTCATCCATTCATCCATTCATGATCAGTCATTGCAGAAACCCTTCCGAACCCTTCCCACGCGCGTCAATCCAGCTTCCTCCCCACACGCAATCACTTCCATCACTGCGCACAGTGGCTTGCTTTGTGTCGCCTAGATTGTCGCCTACATAGGCGCTCGCCTACGTCTATATCGACGAAAGTCGCGCCTACATTGGCGCCTACATCGGCGCCGGCGGGGACGACTTCATGGGTGAGAAACAGTCACAAATTGCTTGGCTTAATCATCCACGCCTAGCATAACTTTTTTCCCATTTTTTTATTCAGTTGGCATGCCTGTGACATGCCTGGGGGAAGACACGGCTGATTTATGCTCACTATTCTCTCTCTCAGCTCCTGATCGAGCTGTGCTATGACGCTCGAGGGACCCCTGCGGCTGGACCTCATGAGACAGGGAGACATTCCCTGCAGCCCCGACGACGAATCCTTCTTGCAGGGCATCATTGAGAACCTCACCGGCAAGGGGCGGTAGAAGGAGGCGAAGCAGAGCCATCCCTTGGATTTGGGGAAGGGATTTGCGGCTTTTTCCTCAGGGATGAACTGCCTCACGCACTCCCGAACGGAGTCCGCGAATTGGGCTACAGTCCGGACCGCGTAAGTGGGTCACCGTATAAGCGGGTCAGTTGCGTATGTGGGTCAGCCCATCCCGATCACTCTGTACACAGTAAAAAACGGACCGGATAACTGGGTCACCTCCCAAAGAGACTCAAATCAGCCATCCAAACCGACCATGGCTCAAAATGACCGCAACACGATGAAGAACCTCTTTGTGAAAGAGCGGACCGATGAACGAGTGATTCCATCGAGAAAGACAGACGTTTTGATGGTCATGTTCTGAGATGAATCATTCTGACGGTGATTTGCGACGAAAAGGCGAGTTTGCTTGGCGAGGTTGAGTCACGATGTAAACGGAAGAGCGGCTGCTTCACGTCGAGGCACGAAGACCCATTTATGACCAACAAGAGGGTGGTCAACAGAGTCACCTGAGGCATCTGGCAGCCCTGATGTGTTCGGCATGTTCCTCCTCAGTCATTCGGATCACTTCACCCTCCGCCCACCCACCCACCCCACCCGCCCACCCACTCATCGTGAGAGCGATTTGATGGCCATTTCGACTGATACATTCACTGATGCAGGCGGCGGGGCGGCATGATTTATGTGATTTGCTTGCTGTCATGCTTGCTGTTCATGCCTTTCGTGCCATCATAGCCCATCAGACACCGTTGATGACGCCAATTGCACGTGTCAATGACGAATCTTCTTGCAAAATCACTCAGGCTGCATCACTTTGCGTCACGTGTGTGGAGATCAACGATGAATCAAACATTCGGAGACATCCAAGGGCTCTCGCAGCCATCCAAGGAATGATTGATTGAAGAACATCCTTGAGCGGGGAAAAACGAGTCAATGTGATGGAGGGTGGCTCTGGCGAGTCATTCACGGCGAGAAACCCCGCAGAAATTCTGAGCAGAAGATAAAGCAACCCCCCGTGCAAGCGTCCTCCCATGGATTTGAATTTTTGTCAGAATTAGCCCCTTTTTTTGAGGGGTTTGGGACGTTTGAAAAAAAGGAGATGGGAGGGAAGGGGGCGACCCCGGTTCTCACCCGCGGAAAATGGCTATTTTTGGTGCCGAAAAAACCGCTCGCACATCACCGAGACAGCGGAAAAATCGAGGAAAATAGTTGATTGGTTGATTGATTGATTGATTGACTGGTTGATTAATTGATTGGTTCATGTACGTACCATCCCCGACTGTCTGTCTCTGTGAATGAATGTGGTGCCTCTGCTAACGCTGTCTGGCTGTTTGTCTGTATGAATTATGTATGCATGTCTCTATGTGTTGTCTTGTGTGTAATCTTATGTCTGTCTTATGTGTGCGTGCGTGTATATGTGTAAGTGTGAAGGCAAATAGACTGTGTGGTAAAGACATACGAGTGTCATCCAGTTCGATGTGTGAAAGACACTGGTTTGCGAGAGAAGAACATGCCAAGCAAGCTGTGATTCAACGGATTGCAACCCAACTTTTTTAAATTGTCTCCTTTTATTTTTTGGCGGCTTTTAAAATTTGTTCCTTGTTTGTCGGGGATTCTCTCTCTCTCTCTCTCTCTCTTCTTTCTTTTTTTCTTTTTTCTTTTCTTTCTTTCTTTCTTTCTTTCTTTTCTTTTTTTTTCCTTTTTCCTTTTTTTTCCTTTCTTTTCATTTGCGTTTTCTGACTTTTCCGACGGTTTGCCGGTTTTTAAATATTTTTCGGCACATTTGGGACGTTTTAAAAAATGCGCGATCAGGGGAGGAGGCTTGTACGGGGTGTTAAGCAATCACTCGCTTGTGCGTATAAACCAATCAAACGTCCAAAGCAATCGGC